CAGTACACACACACATATATATTATGTAAACAAAAACTTTTATTTTGGATGCGATTAATCGTTTGACAGCACTACTAAATATACTATACTACCATTTTATATACATATACAAAATATTTTTTGTTAATTTATTAATATAAATTTATTATGCAATATACGTTAATAAATATATACAAGTCATTTTAATAGTATTGCCCACTATTAGTGTTTTGTATATCATAATCAGATTATATTATTTAAAAAAAATAAATAAAATAAAATAAAATAAAAAATAAACCAACAACAGGTAGCCCATCCAAATTAGGACATTTAGGCTATCCATCTAATAGTAGCCTACCAAAATCTTATTAACAGTAGAAGTTAAATCTTACTGTAGTCTTCAAATCTGGGTACTGTCTTACGTTTTAAAATCACAAAGGGAGTTTGGTCCCATCAGGCTAACGTGACAGTTACGACTCATGCAGCTGTAAGGTTTTCTTTTTCTTTTGTTTTTACTCGCGATCTTTACAACACGCATTACAAAATATATATATATATATATATAATTTATAGTATATGTTAGCATCTTGGTTACCAATTTACTTAATTACATTTTAAATATAAAAATAATAATAAAAAATAGTACAAATAAAAGACTCAAATTCAGGTCTCTTTAAAAATGATTAGCTATAAATGATTCAAATGATGCTTGTCGTAGCAAACACTGCTAATTATCAGCTATTTGTATGAGCCAGAATGTCTGTATTGGTGCATTCGTGTTAATTATGCTGTGATGAATATCTCAGGTCAGGCTCTGTGTGGTTAGATCCGCGCTGAGTGAGTCTCTGAGCTGCATGGATTTCTCCTCTTCTCAGGGAACGAGCTTTCTGCGTGTGACGGTCCCGAGGTGCGCTCCAGCGTCCATTACCTTCACATCATCGACAATCAGCAGACGCTGTTCCAGCTCTCGCACAGACTGGAGCCCCGAGTCTGAGACACACAGAGACCCAGAGAAAGAGCGCCGCCTGCTGGACAGATTCACACTGAATCAGTGACTCTCTCAGAGCCCAGCGAATCATGTTCAGACATCACCATAAAACACTTCTTTCTTAATGTAAAAAATGACTGCCGGTCGACGAAAGCTTTTTCCTGTCCGTGCTTTTTCAGCATTGTTTTTGTTGAAATGCGGTTGTCAATGTTATTTAACTTCTGCCAGCACTCTGGACCATATTTATATATGAATTTAATACTTCAGATTGTTAGGGCTGGGCGATATGATCATAAAATAATATGTAAAAAATAATATTTAAATTTTAAAAAGGATATTCAATTTTATTATGTACTTTTTTCAGCCTTTGACCATGTTTAGTGTATATTAATATTTATATATTTGGATTTAAAAGCTGATTTATTTGAGTCAATTTCAACCAGTTTGATTAAAAATGTATAATGCAAGATTGAAAATACAATACAAATCATGTAAACACAAGAACTGATATAACAAAACATAACGCAATATTAACACAAACAAAAAAAATAATTGATTCATTTGAATTGATTCATTGAACTGATTCATGAAAATGAATCAGACTTGCTTTTTGAGGTCTGACGTTCAAATCAGAAACTTAATGGCCAGATCATAGAATCACACTGTTGTTTCAGTTTATGAATATTATGATATTTTGTAAACACAAAAACAAATATAACACGCAAACGAATCATTTGAATCGATTCATTGAAACCGATGGTTTGAAATGATTCATGGAAATTAATCAAACTTAATTGTGTTTTACTACTAATGAAATTCAAATCATAAACTTAATGGCCAAATAAAATCATAGTTATCTTGGCTTCAGTTCACGATCTTTTATAAACACTAGAGCAAATATAACATGCAAACGAATCATTGTCTCAGACAGTTTGAACTGATTCATGGAAATGAATCAAACTTATTTGCTTTTCACCGCTTCTGAAGTTTAAATAAACTTAATGGCCAAATAAAACCATTTGGCTTCAGTTTATGAATATATGATATTTTGTAAACACATAAACGAACACAACGTGCAAACAAATCACTGAATCATTTGAATCAATTCGCTGAAACTGAAAGTTTGAACTGATGGAAATGAATCAAACTTACATGTTGGTTAAAATCACAAACTTAGAGGTGAAATAACATCACAATGTTGCATCGTTTTATAAATAAATGATATTTTCTGAACAGAGTATATATCGCCCGGCCCTACAGTATGAGCTGAGAGTGAACGAACAAACACAGGCCATGGTCAAAGGTCATGAGGATGTCATATAGAGCCAAGTACTGGCTTGTCTTCGTGTTTGGTATTGGAGCTCATTCTGCCAGTGACATGCAGTGATCGTTCCTGTGAGCCGGCAGTATTATTTCCTTGAAGATGTTCGTTTCGTGCAGTTTTAGCGCTGAAGCTCATGCATGCATACTGTATTTGCACTTACTTCTCTGTTTGTACATTATCGTGCAAGAATGTAGATACGTTCATATCTGTAAAGAAATGTGGTTTGCAAACACACGTTTCTGTGCCAAGCACTATTACGGGAGAGCGATGCAATACGAGGAGATTTGAATATTGTCCAATGTTTTATAAAAGCCTTTAGCTGCAGCTATGAACCCATGGGACATCCGCTTTAATGGGAATTGTGGCTTTGTAATCGATCAGCTCAGGAAAGCGCGAGTCTTAGGCCGCAGGATACTGAACTTCATCAGTTTGTGCACTGCCACATTCATTCACAGACACAGAAGAGCGAGCGGCTCGCCTGGATGTGCTGCGACTGAACACACACTGCGTTTCTTATTTATGAATATCTATGGCGCTTGTGTTATTTTGTGACATGCTGCCGTTCACAGATAGAGATGGGCATTAATAGCTTCTGATGCTTTGGTGAATCTCACAAAAATGTTTAGTCACACATTTCACCCCAAAGAGTAATATGTAAATAAATAATGAGAAACATTCTGTCCCAACACTATTTTTTTTCTTTTTTATTATTATATTTTAGGAAATTAGGTTCAGTACAACAAATGTCTGGGTCACCAAATAATGAAAACATCCTGATACAATTATTCTTTCTTTTCCTTTTTCTTTTTAATTTCCCCCTTTTATTGTTATTTTATTTTATAAAATTAAATTCAGTACAACAAATGTTTGGTTCACACGTTTTACCCCCAAAGAGTAAGAAGTAAATAAGTAATGAAAAATGTCCATCCAGACACAAAATGTTTCTTTATTTAATTTCTTTTATTTAATTTTAATTCTATTTTATAAAATGTAATGCAGTACTACTACGTGTAAGGTTTACAATTCAAATACTTTTTAATCATTTAGATTTTTTTTTGTAAAATTAAATTCAGTACAGTAAATACTATAATTTAAGTTTTAAATTATATTAAATTAATAATTTTTTTTGGGCTTATTTAAAAAATACTGCCATGATGTAAGGATCACAATTTAAATATTTTTATTAATTTTATTATTATTATTATTATTATTATTATTATATTTTATTATTTTGTTGTAATTATTATTTTATTTATTTAAAAAATGCATTTGGGGTGAAATATGAGATAGATATTTTTTTATTTATGTATTGTTATATTTTTTCTTTTATTATTATTAACTTTTTTTTATTACAAAATTACATAGCACAAATAGTATTATGACATATGTTTCACAATTCTAATAATAATTATTTTTTGCAAATTAGGAGGGTTTTTTTATGTGATTAACCGTCATGAAAGTAATGTCATAATGTGACAAAAATATTGAATGTGAAAATATAATATGAATTATATTTATGTGAATAGATACCTTTTTTTGGACAGTTTTTGTGAGATTCACTCAGTTCAGTGAGTTATTCTGAGGTTTGTTCACACAGAGGGTCTCGGTGGATTTCGGCTGGTCTTGAAACTGATCTGACTGCCGTTGTCACAGAAAGCCACTGAGAAGAAGACTAATATTTTGGGGTGTTGTTGTAATCTGCAAATGTAAATATAGATATGCTCTGAATATAAGACTCAATGTTAAAAAAAGACAGAGATTCAAAGCAATATATTTACAGTCTGTTGCTATAGAAACCACACACGTCTTTTCTATAACCTGCATTTTTACAATAATGTTCTTTTGTTTCACCCCCTGCGGGTGTTAGAGGTCACTGGTGCCGCTGTGATTGGAGTATGAGAATTATTAACAGGTGTTCTAACAAATCGTCAGAACACCGGCTAACTGGCTAAAAGTAGTGATGGGGACGGGACTCCAAAAGAGTGTATTCTGAATAGTTCTACAGAGGGAGTCGAAAATTCCGAGTCGCGGATGTCTTCACTGATTCTCACAACCTATGTAATGCATGGCACTTGAGTGCAGTATATCAGCTGAGACTGAACGAAGTTAAGCGAGGATCCGTTTGCAGTGCGGTGCGTATGAGTTGCAGAGGCTGCACGGGCTCATCGTACTCACTCACACACACACTCACACTCTCTCTCACACACACACTCACACTCTCTCACACACACACTCTCACACACAGTCACACACACACACACACACACACACTCTCTCTCTCACACACACACTCTCACACACAGTCTCACACACACACACTCTCTCACACACACACTCTCTCACACACACACACACACACACACAAATATTATGCATTTGACTTCTGTAGCCTATAGATGTAAATATTAACATGCGTAAGCAGGCAAAACGTGTCAAACTTCCTGGAGAGCAACCGCACTGCAGAGTGCTGCAGCCCTCCAGGAACTGAGTTTAACACCTGTGATGTAGTCTAGTCTAGTCTGCTTTTCTTACTTAAAAAGTAGGCTATCACAGACATTTTCAGTTAAAACTTACCGTTGGCAGAAACGTGTCGTGGCTTTTCTTTTGCATTTAGATCCTTATTACAAGTAATCCTGCTGGTCATAAAGAACTTTGTTTTTCTAACTCCACCAGTGCAATATGAGCGCGTTTTTCTAAAAATGTAGGCTACTTTTCCTTGCTTTAGCTAAAAATCCATGTGTTGACTCTGAAAGACAGACTTTAATTGTGCATTTATGGTGTGTTTAATACATTTCGTATCAATCCATGTTCTTTTTTTTTTTTACCATGAACAATGCACTGTTAATTTAATTCTTAGTCACTTCAACACAACAAAATAGATTTGGTGCGGAAAAGATCACTGCTGCTGCTAAGTGCAAACCACATCCTGTGTGTAATGGTCACGGTGGTTACATATATCATGTGTGCACCAGTTACTTGAAAAGTAAGTCATAGGGAATTTAGTTTGTAATTGTACTCTGTGGCTTTGAAGTTTAACTGATGTTTTGTTATTTGATGTTATGTTTAATGCAGTAAATGTACATTTTGTTTTCTATGTTTTAACTAGAGGTGCAATGATTGCAATTTTCTTGGTGATTCCGATTTCAGATTTTTTTTGTTAGTGTGATCTGCCGATAACGATTCTTGCCAATTCCAATTTTCTTTCCAAGAACTATAATTGACAGCATATACAAACAAAAATCTATACTTTTTTTTTTCAATGCAAAAAATGAATAGAAATTTAAAAGAAATGATTAAACATTATAATTCCCCCAATCTGGTTTAAGGATTGCAAAATTCTGGGAATTTTTTTCAAGACCTTCTCAAACTTTCCATGGGAATAAACTGGAAATTTGCAAAATTGTAAATTACATGAATATTACAAAAAAATGTTTAAAACTTCATTGTGCTGTGTCTAATATACTGTGCAACTAATAGGCTATACCGTTGTAAAAACGAATACACTGACTAAACAAACGTTTAAAGGAGACATATCATGCCCCTTTTTACAATATGTAATAAGTCTCAGGTGTCTCCAGAATGTGTCTGTGAAGTTTCAGCTCAAAATACTCCACAGATCATGTATTATAACATTTTGAAAATGCCTTTTTCTGAGAGGAAGCAGAAACATACGGTTTTTCATGCCTGTCTCTTTAAATGCAAATGAGCTGCTGCTCCCCGCCTCCTTTTCCAGAATAGAGCTGCGCCATTACTACGGAAGTTCTAAGCGGCCATGCAATATATTTTTTTCCTTGTTTTCTCGTTATAACGACTTAATTTTCTTGTTATCTCGACATAACGGGAGTTGTTTTCTCGTTATAACGACTTAATTTTCTCGTGATCTCGACATAAAGTTGTTCTCCAAGTTACAAAACTGCGGCAACAGGTGGCACTATTGACCTGAATATAACTGATGGGGTGTTGTAGGCTATACTGTATG